AAATTATATTATATATATTTATATTATATATTTCTATTAAATTATATATATTATATATATTTATACTGTCTTGAATTTATTGCAAATAATAACTTTTGTTATATACCTTATATAAACAATAACTATTATTATATACATTATTATAAACATTGATATAATTTTAAAGTAAGTTTACAATGGTGTAGGCCTAAAGGGGAGCCAGCCATTTAGGACGTCACCAGTGACAATTACGTAAATAGTTTATTTTTAAATTGTTTTTCAAAACTTTATATAAGTCGAACACATAAAAATGCATTAGGTAAGAATAAAGGCCAGAATGTTTGATGAAAACGCGGATTTCTTTTCTACAGTTGCACGATGATGACGAGGAAATATTTGACGAGTTTGGTGTGGTAACTGACCAACAGAAGCTTAAAATATTATGCGAGGACAAGGAGCTGGAAAATAGAGAAAAAGAACAGCATCAACAGAGGAAATGCAGGACGACCACCGAGAATAAAGGAAGTCCAAATTCTAAAAAACGTAACCATTCTCGTAAACGTTTACCTTCTGATAGTGACATCGAGAGCGATAAAAAAGCTGAAGCGGATATTGAAGACGGCGAATTGTCAACATAGAGCAATAGCGGCGTCATCTTGAACAGCCTCCTCCTCCTTCCTCTTGAACTCAGAGGAAGACAAGCAAAAGGTGCTGGTTTTTAAGACCGGTGGTCGTTTCCAAGGTAGAATTTTTGACATTTAACTGTAATGCTTTTCCTCTTCGAATTATTTAATTTATTTGAAAGGACGAAATATACGAAGATGATAACGTCGATCAAGAGGAGGATGAAGACGAAAACGATCAGAATGCTATGTCACCCGAGGCGAAAAGAAAACGTATGAATACACTACGCGCTGGAAGAACGTAAAGTCAATCCCTTTTGAAGAAAATGCGGATGGATCAAATATACATTTTGATATTTATTATTATCAACGATAATAAAGTGTCGCATCGCCTCATTAAATCCCCTTTCCCCATCCCCGCATAGGTCACCTATGTTTCTTACCATTAGTATTGGAGGAAGCAATCGCAGCATCTAATGGAAAAACAAAAGGAATTCCGCAGCTACTTTTGCTACTTCATTTTCTGCTCGCTCTTTGAATTCAACAGAATCGCTATCGAATGCAGACTCGCTGACATCAATTAAAGGATCAACTGAGTGAAAGCTGCCCACGCTGTCAAATATTAAATACAAACATTAAAGACAACAATATATCCTTAATTAGATAAAAAAAATCCATCTTGTGTTTTTATTTAAATTTCTTAAGATTAAAAAAAATGTTTCCCTTTATGAAACAAAGCAGATAAATTTTAATATTTTCTTTAACGATAAGACTTTTGGTAGCGGGCACGAGCTCCGGGACCACCGAATTTTTTGGGCTCACAACGACGTGGATCACCCACCAGAAGAGTTCTATCGTATTGTATCAAGATGTCCTTAATTTCTTTTTTAGAAGCTTCATCAACGTCTGCAAAAAAAAACAGAAAATGTCAAAAACTCGAAATTCTTACATATGTACTCTCAAAGGACGTTGTTATCAAACATTACTCAAATTGTTAACTTTCACCACAATTCAATTATGCAATGTTGAAAGGTATTTGATTTTGCCCATTTTTAAAGACTAACTCATTTGTAAGAAAAAGGCTTTTCAAACAAATATCTGGCATAATGGGCTCCTAATCTTAAAAACCATTCTTATATTAAAGCATTTGAAGAGATTTGGTAAACTTTTGACAAGCCGATGTAGTTAAAAATTGGTTAATCTTCTTCGCTATTCAAGTATACATAGAACTATTTCGTTCATTTTAATGCAACACCCAATATGTTATGGATATAAAGCTATATTGGTTGGTAAATGCTTAATCCCGTTTTAATCTGCCTGACTACTGTCTTTCAAAGGAAGTCATTTTCAATAAAACTCCAGTGAAAATCTGGTATAAACAGGGCTAAGTTTTTAAAACATATCATCAAGACAATAATCTGTATATATGAGAGAATATAATCAACCTCTGGGAAGGAAATTCCTTCCCTTTGCTAATATTGGCTACTATATTCCAATGTATGCAATTTTTGTGTTCCTTACTAACACCAATGGGATTTCGAATGAAATTTCAAGCAATATTGCAAAAACTTTTTCTAATTATTAGTGTGTTATTGGAAACTTAAAGAACAAAGCCATACTTCAGAGTTCGAGTATAATAATATGTCCATCTTTTCCTTGCAATCCTAGTGATAATATCTATTATAAGTTTAACCCTTGATGTCTTTAGGCTCATTCTCAAATTTGACCTACGACCGTCGGCATGCGGACGTTGTTAGGTTAACCTAAAAACTTTCTTCAAACAAGATTTTAATTGCTCTGTTTGAAACTAATAATTGTGGTTAACGCAACACCCAATATGTTATAGATATAAAACTATATTGGTTGGTAAATGCTTAATCCTGTTTTAATCTGCCTGACTACTATCTTCCAAAGGAATTCATTTTCAATAAAACTCCAGTGAAAATCTGGTATAAACAGGGCTAAGTTTTTAAAACATATCATCAAGACAATAATCTGTATATATGAGAGAATATAATCAACCTCTGGGAAGGAAATTCCTTCCCTTTGCTAATATTGGCTACTATATTCCAATGTATGCAATTTTTGTGTTCCTTACCAACACCAATGCGATTTCGAATGAAATTTCAAGCAATATTGCAAAAACTTTTTCTAATTATTAGTGTGTTATTGGAAACTTAAAGAACAAAGCCTTACTTCAGAGTTCGAGTATAATAATATGTCCATCTTTTCCTTGCAATCCTAGTGATAATATCTATTATAAGTTTAACCCTTGATGTCTTTAGGCTCATTCTCAAATTTGACCTACGACCGTCGGCATCCGGACGTTGTTAGGTTAACCTAAAAACTTTCTTCAAACAAGATTTTAATTGCTCTGTTTGAAACTAATTATTGTGGTTAACGCAACACCCAATATGTTATGGATATAAAACTATATTGGTTGGTAAATGCGTAATCCTGTTTTAATCTGCCTGACTATTATCTTTCAGAGGAATTCATTTTTTAATAAAACTCCAGCGAAAATCTGGTATAAGGAGGCTCTAAAAGTTAAGATGATATTATAGAAAAACTTACATTTTTGATAGAAAGCTATTAGAGCCTTGGAGATAGCTTGGCGTATAGCATAAATTTGTGCCACATGACCGCCACCATTAACACGTACGCGTATATCCACACCAGCGAATTTTTCCTAAAAAAATGTATTTGTATTAACATGCCACTTGTGTAAAAAAAAAAAAAAATTATTCAGTATACATAAAAATTCAGAAAAAATTTAATTTTCATTATGGATTAAGTCAATTTCGGGATAAGATTTGCATCATTTAAAAGTATAAATGCGTTCTTTTTCTTCGCACATCACTCACCTTACCAAGCAACAATAAGGGTTCTTGCAATTTATATTGCAACACCTTTGGTTCAATTTGATCTAAAGGACGGCCATTAACCCTTAGCAAACCACGACCACGTTTGCAGTAGGCTACGGCAGTAGCGGTTTTCTGAATGAAAAAGAAAACATTTGTTCAAAATTCAAGTAAACGCCAACAAAAACACGTGTATACGCCTTCTTGTGATTATAATACCACTTACTTTACGACCGAATACTTGCACAGCATGTATAGGTTCTCTGCGCTGAAATAATTCAATTATACATTAATTAAAAATATTTCACATTAAAAATATTCCTAAATTAAACTTACTTTCTGCTGCATTCTGCTTAGCTAGCGAAAAAGAAAAAGGGCGGAAATCAGTGCGACAGAGACGAAACTATATAGTTTCAAGCATTACTTTAATTTCCGTCAGAGTTGCCAATTTTTGAAGATTGACATTGTATTTGCAAGAATACCATACATATGCATTTATGAATAAAAATTTCAATGAAACTAATAGAAGAAACACAAATAATAGAAAGGACGGTACTTAATTGACTATTAAAATTTAAAAATCGTCCAGTCGAGATATATAATCATCACTTCATCATCATCAAATCAGTTTTAATCATCATGTGATAGGCATCTCCTTACCATCATTTTCTTTTTATTATTCTGAAACTGCTGAGATGGTCATAAAGCCCGCAAAAAAACACAAAGAAGAAAAAACAATATGAAAAGGACAAAACTTGGCGATGCTTGCTTCAATTGTAGAGCTATGGAGCACGGTTCAAAAGATTGTGCTACGTAATCGTAAGCGCATTTTGATATTAGACGACAATGCAGATAATATAAATTCAACTTCTGTGAACAATAATAGTAAAACAATCGGTGAATTCTCACCGTCTGATGGAGAATAATCAATTGGTTACATAACCAATTTCGAAAATTTACCCGACTCTGCGGGTGATTATGTGCAACTGAAAAAAAATTTAAAAAGGTTACGGGACACCTACATGAATTAAGTGTGGATTAACATCTTTTTTTCTGAATAAAATGATCATTTAGTGCAAATAGATCATCAAAAGCCAAAAAGCCTTTAAAGAAATAAAAACTAACAATGCTCATCATTCTTTGCCATTCTCCGCGATGACAATGCAGAATATGGCTGATTCATCATGTCACCTTGATATCGTATCTAAGGGGTTTTTCTATTTTTTACCACTTGAAGCGAAAAATAACTGTAAATGTTTCCAGTTTTCGCAAGCTTTGCGTCCGCCGCGATTATTTTTATTGTTATTATTTTTGGGGTTTATTACGGCTTTTTTTGATGCATTGTTGTTTTATTTTTTCATTTTCATCTTTAGAGGAAAGAATTTTTTAAACTATTTTTTAATAAATTTTTTTTGATTTTTTATATCGCCGTTAGTTTTATTACTGTTATAATTGCCATCATTAAGTTATTTTTTTAATTTACTTGTTCTTTATTTTGCATTATTGCTGTAGCAGTGAAATCCGTTCAACAAATAGTGCTTAGCTTACATTGTCTGTGCTCATATTTTGCATCGTTATTTACAAATAAAGGAAGTAGCAACAATTCTTCTAAAGAATGTGAGCAAATAAACATGTGCATTGGCTGCGAATTACCAAAATCTCTTACGAAAATAAGCTATTAAGTGCTTCAGAAGCAAGTCAATAATGAGAGACGTTTCCAGCAGACTGTCTAACTATTACTAAAGCAGCAAACTCACTTATTAAAGGAGATAATCAACGGCGTGGATTGGATCGTCCACCGTCAAGGTACTGAAGCTGAAAAATTAAAAGGTTTGTTTCCTCTAGAAATTTCTTATTTCTAGAAATAGGAAAGAGGAAACAAGAAGCGTATAAGCGCCATACGCACGTAACTAGTTAATCAAGAAAATTACATTTTGCAACAATAAAATACACATGATACTACTTTTACAGCAACAAATCTGCTGTACATTTCTTATGGATGCCCTGAGAAATACTGAGAATAAGAAATTCAGTTTCTGAGCGTAAAATTTACTTTGCTGTAAACAATAGCACGTGCATGGCAAATGTAAATAGAAATTAGAATTTGCAGCAATAATCATACACGGTGCCAGTTTTACAACAACAATATAATTATACAAAAAATGATGGTATTTTTTAAGAGCGTTATTTTCACAAAAGCTTATTTATAACTAGCTCGGCTTTGTAGTGTCATTGACCGCTTTCCGCTTTTGGCTAACAAGACACGCCCCAATTTTTCGCTTAAACACAGATATGGGTTTCTTCAATTTTTGCATATCAAAAATACATACAAATGCGAGTCTGCCATACCTGTAAAAAAAGGGAATACCAAGCCGCAAAATATTGAGAATGTTGAGCTGCCACGCCCATAGCAGCCCCGTTGGGTCCGCGGAATACAATTGGGACATTGATCTGCCCCCCCGACATGTAGAACGTTTTAATCGCTGAATTTATAACCTTGCATCAAATTGTTTAAAGATATAAAAATTCGTAAAGTATTTAGAGATCTCAATTACAACCGTGCAATAATATATTTTATTTTTTTTCAGACGAAGGAACATATTGTGGAAAAGTATGGCGGTGAAGAACATTGAAGAACATTTGCAAGCACCACCTAAATCGCTACTGTTGGCCCAAACCGAAGATTATATAGAGAATTCGCGTAGCGGCAAAGGAATGGAAAAATTAAAAGCTCCTAGTATATATGAGGATATTTATCTTAGTAATATATTAGTAATATATAAACTGGGATTATCTGGGAAAAATGAAAATCTCATATTAATCTCATGTTAATTTGAAAAATAAAATGATAATTCTTTCCATATATTCATACAAGTGCTTGAA